GTACTGATAAGCACTTTACTGAGAATCTTAAGATGGCATAAACGAAAAAACATTACCTTCTTTACCCAATTCAAAGCCTTTTCATCTAAACCTTCTGTAAACATTTTTGTAGTACTTGCAAATCGCAATGAAACGGTGAAAAGCACGAAGCTTAGAGAAGCGTGATGAAGAAGGTGAGCTTAGAGAAAGATTTACACAAGTGAGAGACAAAAAGAGAGCGTCGAGCTTTGGTTTACAAATCACAAGTCACAACGGCTAGTTTGAAAATTGAGGTTTCTTTATGGAGATTGCAGAGAGCCGGGTCCCAGTTTAAAATGATTTGTATTATAAAATTATGTAAGCCCGGCCCGTTGAAATAAAAAAAACTGATTTCATTGTAATTTATAGAAATTATAGAACTAGATCACGTTTTGCTAACAACGCATTTTGGAATGAGTATGCCATTTAGTCCTGGGTTACAACTCCAGTTCCGATCACATTAAATAATATTTGAAATTAAATGACCCTCAAAATCGACTCCTCAATTTCCTAATTTGTCTATTTTCCCCTTATCTATAAAAGAATCACAGCAAAACATACTTCAATTTCTTCTGCCATTCTCGGTTATGACACACTGAAACACACACACACTTCAAACAGAAAGTATTTTAAAGCAAAAGAACAAAATTAGACCTTAAAGGGGCCTGGTTGCATTCGAGAAATTGTTTTCATCGTCGAAGTTTATCCTTTCGAAAGCAATGGACTGAGGTAGATTGAGGTCCATGTATTTTATCCCGTTATTGAATTTTATTTTTTAACGTTGTATGTCGAATAGTGCTGAGGCACAGCACTATGGAAAAAAATTTAATTTCAATAATCATCTCCTGATTCTACATTTTAAGAAAGTTTGTTGAAAATTCATCTACGTTCGACGGTATTAATGCTATAGTTCAAGTTTTCTATGTTTAAGGATCGGGATGCACCTATGATTACTATCGAGTTTCAAACTACCCTTTTCAAGTTGAAGTAGTTCATGTCGACTGTCGACGAAGGTGGCTTGGTGGTGCACTGATTACTTGGAATTTATGAATGAAAACATTCTGCTCAACCCGGGGAAATATAAAAATTATAATCTATTTCAGGTTGCTGGAAATTTTATTTTTAATTATTATGTCAATAAAGGTGAGATTAGTCTCGACCTACTTGAGTTGGACTTAATCAGAGTAATGCAACTGGAAGGAAGCAAACCGAACAATCAAGTTTTGTAACTCGTACTTCATTTCAAAAGGCAATATCATTTAATTGTAGTCTTTGTTGACTACAAAAATTATAATCAACAAATTCCTCACTTAACCAGAATTTTTTGTTACACATTCACGTATTATTCATCATCTTACGTGTCTTGTAATCATTGATTTAGAAGTCATGCTGTAACTACTTATTCACTTGTGTTTTAATAACGGTTTCTGCTAGCCTGAAAGGGAGATGATTTCGGGCTCACATGTTGGCAGGCCGACCCAGCCCGGACCACCCGGATTGACACCTCTAAGTCTTTGTTGACTACAAAAATTATAATCAACAAATTCCTCACTTGACCAGAATTTTTTGTTACACATTCACGTATTATTCATCATCTTACGTGTCTTGTAATCATTGATTTAGAAGTCATGCTGTAACTACTTATTCACTTGTGTTTTAATAACGGTTTCTGCTAGCCTGAAAGGGAGATGATTTGCCACTTCCTTCTGCGAGCCTTCTACATTTTAACTACCCTTGTGCTCGTGGAATATTTTTCTTGATTCAACAATCTCTTCATATACTAGAGGATCCGACTCAATCAATATACTGTGATACCTTCTACTAGATGCATGATGAAATTCTATCAAGGATTTTTCTTTCTAATCCTTTTACTTCTCTTTAATTCAGGAGGATCATCATTGGCACTTCTCTTGTTAGTTTCTTTTATCTGAGATGAATACGAATTTACTAAATTTGGTATGGTGCAGAATCTATGTTCATAAAACAGCGCATCTCTTGATTTTATTACTGTATTGACTTCGAGTTGTAAGGCTCTGACTAGAAACATACATCCTTTCCTATGTTATGCATGCCCTACGAACATACATTCAATCCATTTTTCACCTACTTTCCCAAGTCTCATTTTCTGTCCATTCGAATTTTGGTATGGTCAGAACATAAACAACATTCAATGTTGTGACCAAAAAATAGAGTTTATTTTGCCTACCCTCGAAGTTTGCTCCACCCAATCTATCGAGAAATTGCATAGTGAAGACACAAATGGTGCTATTCCAGAAATCAGATTAGCGTCTCAAGAATGTTGGTAGGAACAACTCTACAATATCTTGAAAACCTTAACTCGATTCCAAAACATGTTTACTATATCGCTTTCCACAAACCATTATTTGTCCCTCACCCAATAGAGTGTACAAGGGAAGCAAATACGCCCCAAGATACAATGGAATCTCCTTTAGATGTTGGCATTTATGTACTTAACAAAAACAACTACGAACCCAAAAAAAAGAGAGAATAAACTTATAAAAGAGGCTTATATTTTATTTCTGCAGTATCACAGAGTATAAACTTTGATTCGAATACATTATGAAAATTATAGAAAAGGAAAGAGAATAATTTTGAAATTCTATCAACTTTTCATGTATCCAGATCACTAAATGTTGAATCTATTATCTATATAGAGAATCTTATCACACTTACAAATAAGTTACAAATATTAATAGGTAGCTTCTAAGTTTTGAATACATCATACAAACTTTTAAAAATTTCAACTTACAACACTAAAAATACACTTGGCCCCTGTCTGGTGTGAATTAAAATCTAATCTAAAGTCGACAATTAATTTTAACCAAATATTTCATGAGACTCACACAACATTTCAATCACATATTTCATCAACTTTGATAACAAAATCTGATTTTAATTCACACCAAATAAGAGCTTAAGAACGAAAAGTCACCATTGATGTCTATAGGCGTCGTACGCACTTGCCAAGCAGCAGTGTGTTGGCCAAGCCTTGGGCAACAAAATCACGCGCCAGTTAGTTTTGGCCAGCCTGCTTGTTTTCTGATTGCTCGGTGTGATGTTCCTTGGCTCTTGACATATAGTTCCAACCTTGACCCAATGCCTAAATGACATTCTTTTGAAAATATTATCTAACAGTCTATAAAAGATCTTCGTACGTAGGTCCATTAAACAGAGATCGTTAAAAACAAAACATAATGGGTGTCTAAAATATTCTCTAACAGTCTCCAAAATGTAACCAAAGATAGCTGAAAACATAATCGTGTACCGAAAAATACACTTGTCAAAAGTTTTTACACTGATCACTAGCTGTTTTTAGAAGGATTTGGAATTGTTTATGTCAAGAAATATAAATTGTATTATATTGACTTGATAATATTATAATGTAGAAGACCCTATTTATAGGGTTACAAATAACTGTAAAAGGAAATAAACATAAATGGAAAGATTACGCAATCTACTACTAAGGAAAGTAATCCTACACTAAGGAAAGTAATATAATTGCAATCTTTGACGATCTCTGTAATCTTATTCAATATCCTTGACATCCCCCCTCAAATTGATGCTGGTAAAAGTATCAATTT